ATAATTATGCCTTTGCTAATATATCTAAGAAACCATCGCCTAACCAAGGTCACAAAGATTTACTCCGATGTTTTCTTCTACTGGAGCAAATAGTGTATAGTTTATCTCTCACATTGAAATCTATGAACCGTTATCAGTCAACTTTCGTATGTGGTGTATGGTAGGCATCCAACTTCATTCTTGCACATGTGGAGAGCCAGCTGGTCAGCACCATTCGTTGAAACTATGCTTTCCCGGTCGCTTTGTTCTGGCGCTCATCGAGAAATCAATTGACTGTAAACGTGAGGGTTTATTTCCGCACCCGCAGTTCTCTTCCATTGATCTATCTTTCCTTACGCCTGCACTGCACTGTCTTACTTACTGTAACTTTGTAGAGAGTTTTGAAATCAGGAAATGTGAGTCCCCAGTTTCATTCTTCTCTTTCAAGCTTGTTTGACGATTCTGAGACCCTTGCATTTGCATATGAATTTTAGGATCAGGTTGTCAATTTCTGCAAAAAAAGAACCAACTGACATTTTTATAGGGATTGAGCTCAATCTGTAGATCAATTTGAGAAGTCTTCCAATTCAAGAATATGGGGTGCTGTATTTATCTATCAATCAATCAGCTTTATTGAGATATAATTCACATACCATACAATTCACTCATTTAAAGAGTTTACAAATCAATGGTTTTTATCAAATTCAAATAATTGAATATATACAACCATCACCACAGTCAATTTTAGAAGATTTGCATCACCTCAAAAAGAAGCCCTATACCCTTTAGTTATCACCACTCTACTTCCTCAATCTGCACCTCACCCCTATCCATAAACAACCACTACTCTACTTCCTGTCTCTATAGATTCGCCTATTCTGGACATTTCATATAAAGGGAGTCATACGCTATGTGGTCTTTTGTGTTTGACTACTTTCACTAGTATAATGTTTCCAAGGTTCATCCTTGTAGCATCAGTACTTCATTTTTTGTTGTCGCTGAATAATATTTCGTATTGTGAGTGTATCATGTTTTATTTACCCATCTGTCAGTTAATTGACATTTGGACTATTATGAATGCAGCTGCTGTAAACGCTCATGTACAAGTTTATGGAACTATATTTTTATTTCTCTTGGATATACCACTAGGAGTGGACTTGCTGAGTCATATGGTATCTGTTTAAGCTTATGAAAAACTACCACACTGTTTTCTCAAACAGCTGCATCATTTTACATTCCCAGCAGCAGTGTGCAAAGATTCCAGTTTCTCCACATCCTTACCAACACTTATTGTTATCTGACTTTTAATTCTAACCATTCTAGTGGATGTGAAGTGGTATCTGACTGTGATTTTGAGTTGCATTTCCCTGATTGATAATGATGTTGAGTATCTTTTCATGTGCTTATTGGCCATTTGTTCATCTTCTTTGGAGAAATGTCTATTCAGATCTTTGCCTGTTTTTAATTGGGTTATTTGTCTTATATGTTACTGGATTCAGTTTGCTAGTATTTTGTTGAGGATTTTTGCGTCCATATTCTAGTTTCTTTTTATGTCTTTGTTTGATTTTGGTATCAGGTTACTACTGGCTTCACAGAATGAGTTTGGAACTTTTTTATTTTTTGGAAAACTTTGTGAAGAATTGGTATTAATTTTCCTTTAACTATTTGATAGAAGTCAGTGGTGAAGTTATCTGAGCCTGAGCCTTTCTTTGTGCTAGTTTTTATAATTTTATTACTATTTCAACCTCATCACTTGTTTTAGGTCTTTTCAGATTATTTATTTCTTCTTGAGTCAGGTTTGGTAGTTTGTCTTTCTAGGAATTTGTCCATGTCATCCAACTTATCTAATTTGTTGCCATATAATTGTTCACAGTATTCCTTTATAATTATGCTAATTTTTTTAATCCTCACCTGAGGATATGTTCTTACTGATTTTTTGAGAGAGAGAGTGAGAGAGAGAGAAAAACATCGGTGTGAGAGAGAAACAGGTTGGTTCCTTCCTGTAGGTGGCCCAACCCAGGATCCAACCAAAACCTGGTTATGTGCCCTGCCTGGGAATCAAACCCGTGTCCCTTTAGTGCCCGGGATGATGCTCTAACCAAATGAGCCACATCGGCCAAGGCTATAATTGTTTTTATTTCTGTCAGGTCAATAGAAATGTTCCTCTTTCTTTCTTTTTTTTTTTAATATGTCTTTATTGATTTCAGAGAGGGGAAAGGAGAGGGAAAGAGAGAGAGAAGCGTCAATGATAAGGCAGTTGTCATTGATCGGCTGCCTCCTGCACACTCCCTACTGGTGACTGAGCCCGCAACCCAGGCATGTGCCCTGACCAGGAATTGAACTGTGATTTCCTGGATCCTAGGTTGATGCTCAACCACTGAGCCACACCTGGCCAGGCCCTCTTTCATTTCTAATTCTAGTAATTTGAGTCTCCTCTTTTATTCTTGGTCAATCTAGCTAAAGATTTGCTAATTTTGTTGACCTTTTCCAAGAACAGGCTTTTAGTTTCATTGATTTCCTCTATTATTTTTCTATTCTCTATTTCACCAGTTTCCACTCTAACCTTTGTTGTTTCATTTTTAACTTGCGATAGATTTAGTTTGCTGTGCTTTTTCCAGTATCTTAAGGTGGAAAGTTAGGTTGTTGATATAAGATCTTTCTTCTTTGTTAAATATAGTCACATTCAACTAAAATTTCTCTCTAAGCACAGCTTTAGCTGCATCCTATAAATTTTTGTGTTGTGTTTTAATTTTAATTCATCTCAAAGTGTTTTCTAATTTCCTTTGTGATTTTTTTTCTTTGACCCATTAGTTATTTAGGAGAATGCTGTTTAATTTCCACGTATTTGTGAATTTCTAATAGTTTCTTTTGTTATTGATTTCTAATTAAATTCCACTGTAGTCAGAGAACATGTTTTATATTACTTCAGTCCTTTCTAAACTTATTGAGACTAGTTTTATGGCCTCCCATATGGTCTATCCTATAGACTGTTCTATGTGTGCTTGAGAAAAATGTGTATTCTGCCACTGTTGAGTAGACTTTTCTATAGATGTCTGTCATGTCTGATTGGTTCACAGTGTTGTTCAGATCTTCTATTTCCTTGCTGATCTGTCTAGTTGTTTTATCCATTACTGGAAATGCAGTATTGAAGTCTCCAACTATTTCTGTTGAATTGTCTATTTCTCCTTTCGGTTCTATCAGTTTTTTTCTTCATGTATTTTGGGGCTCCATTGTTAGGTGCATATATATTTTGCTTATTATGTATTTCTGATGGATTGATCCTCTTGTCATTATAAATGTCCCTCTGTCTCTAGTAACAATTTTTGTCTTAAAATCTATTTTATATGATATTAGTATAGCCACTCTAGTTCTCTTTTGGATATTGCTTGCATGGTATATCTTTTTATATCTTTTTATTTTCCATGTATTTTCATATTTGAATCTAAAATATGTCTCTTGCCCTGCCAGCATGGCTCAGCAGTTGAGCATCGACTTATAATCCAGGAGATCATGGCTTGATTCCTGGTCAGGGCACATGCCCTGGCTGTGAGCTCGACCCCCAGTAGGGGACATGCAGGAAGCAGCCAATCAATGACTCTCTCATCATTGATATTTCTATCTCTCTCCCTCCCTCTCCCTTTCTCTCTCTGAACTCAATAAAGACATATTTAAAAATAAATAAGATGAAATATATCTCTTATGGACACCATGAGTTTGGATCATGTTTTCTTATCTATTTTGCCAATCTCTGCTGCTTAATGGACATTTTAATCCATTTACATTTAACATAATTATTAATAAGAAGGATTTTTGGCCCTGGCCGGTGTGGCTCAGTTGGTTGGAGTATCATCTTATACATCAAAAGGTTATGGATTTGATCCCCAGTCAGGGCTCATGCAGGGGCCAGTCCATCAGTGTTTCTCTCTCACATCAATGTTTCTCTATCTCTCCCCGCTCCCCCCTCTCACCCTCTCTTGAAAAAAACCAATAAGCATATCCTCGGGTGAGGATTAATTTTAAAAAAATTTAAAAGAAGGACTTCTGCCATTTTACTATTTTTTATTTTTGTTAGCTATATGCACTAGAGCAGGGGTGGGGGACGTCCGGCCCTCAGGCTGTATAATTTGGTCTGGCCCTGCAAGCGGGACTCAAAATTCAATAAATCTAGGAGCTTTTTTCATAGCTAATTTTTAAGTTGATAATTTTATATGGCCCTCAAATGATGTTATAAATATCCAAATGGCCCTTGGCAGAAAAAGGTTCCCCACCCCTACTCTAGATCCTTTATATACATTATCGCATTTTAATACCCATTTTATGATTGAAAAATCAAAAACTTAGAAAGGTGTAGTAACAGCTCCAGTCAGCAGTGAAACTAGTTATGAGCCCAGCATTTCACCCATCAACTCTTGCCTGGAAGTTTCCTCACTGGTCTTGCAGCTTCCCCTGTTGTCCTGCCAGGACCAATCTACACATGCAGCCAGAAATTCCCTTTAAAAAATGTAGATCCAGCCTTGGCCAGGTGACTCAGTCCATTGGAGTGCTTACCTATGCACCAAAAGGTTATGGGTTCGATTCCCAGTCAGGGCACATGCTTGGTTTCCTGTTGAGTGTACGGGAGGCAACCAACCGATGTTTCTCTCTCTCTCTCTCAAATCAATAAAAAAACATATCCTCAAATGAGGATTAAAAAGAGAAAATGTAGATCCAATTGAAACTCCCTTGCTGCTCTCCAGCGGCTCCCACTAAAGGGCATGAGATGCTTCATGATGACTGACTTCCGGTTACTGAATACATTCAAACACAGGGTTGCCTCCTTCCCACCTAGGCTGTTTGAGAGGTCAGAGCACTGTTGACTTAACTGTCATTTGCTGGCCTCTGAGTATGTTCCAGCCTAGGCCTTGGGAGAGCCAAGAGGACTTCTTGGACCATGGCAGTCATCAGAGAGCTTCCACACTGTGCTTGCCTTCTCCCTCAGCCACACTCAACTTTGTGTTTTTTCCTCCTGTCTCCCTCTTCAGTCCATGAAGACCCTGCAGGATTTGCTCACCGACATTTATAAACTCAAGGTCAACACCGAAACCCTCAGGAAGAATATGGACGTACTGAAGGACAGGTGTGATAAGGTAGACCTCGAAGCTGGCCATGCTGCTTAGACCACTGGTGGTAGGGTGACAGGATAAATCTAAGAAGCCCATTCTTAGTCAAAGGACACAGTCATCGGGCAGGAGATGGGCACTGATGTGGCCCAGCCACTTAGCCCATCCCACTGAACTCTCTATGGCTTCCACCATGCTATGCTCCTCACCCTGCTGTGTTAGGACACCATTTGTAAGTGACAGAGACTTAGTTCATTCTGGCTTAGGTAAAATCAGATAACTTATTGTCTCATTAACTAAAAAGTTCAGGAATGCCTTCAGGTACAGCTAGATCTAGGTGCTCATACCACATCAATACCTCTCTCTCAGTGATGATTTTCCTCTGGGATGATTTTCCTTCATATTGATATAGATAGGTACTCCCTAAGTCTTGGCTACTTCAGGCTTACTTAGTTCCTCCTCTACTAAGTTCCATCAACCTAGGAGAAAGAGAACACCTCTCCCTCTTCTAGAAAGCTCTGTTTACACTGAGAAGTAGAATAAACCTAGTACAGGCCTACATGCTAGCTCCCTCTGTAGCCACAAGGACATCAACCCAGGCATGTTCTAACTCTTTGCCATGATGTGGAAGGACATGGAACTTCCGAAGTGTGAGCTCATAGCTGGGGAGTCAGAACTGGGCTCAGAAGCCAGCTCTCCACACCCCCAGGCTGGTATTGTGGCCGAGGTTTTACAACTTGCCTCCAAATAACATGATTTAGTTACCATTCCCAGTGGCCAGGTCAGTGTATGCATTTAATCATCATGGCAACTGTAAGAACTTCAGTCTTGGGCTAGGTAGCTTCCATCTGAGCAGAAAGGGCACTGTTAGGAAACTATCATGAAACACTAAAAAGGACCCTTGGACAAATCTGTTTGAGAAACAGTGCCTCCTCAGCCCACCTCCTGGAGATTCTTAATGGATTTTTGCCCGTTAAAGGCTCTGAGAAGTCCTATAATACAAAAACCCACTGAATGTTTCATATTGATATAGATAGGTACTCCCTAAGTCTTTTCAAGCCCAACATTTCCCAAACTTTTTTTGCCCAGGGGGCCCTTTTCTACCCCTTTCTCACTCTCTGGGAAACACTTTTTCTTCCCCCTCCAACTCTTAGTCACCTAGTGCTAAGTCCTTGTATTTGAGCAGCGGGAAAAGCAGGGCCGGGACCAGAACTTGCACGCCTGATCCACGGGTTTGGCTCCTTTGACAGATACACCTGGAAAGAATAGACAGTTTCTTTGATGATTTGAAAGGGCAGAACCGGAAGATGACTGCACTGCAACGGGATATGGTGAGGGCCTTAGCCCCATCCTCCCTCCCTGGTCCCCTGACCTCCAGGCCTAGGGGTGCTGGGGACAGGGAGGGGGAAGGAGGGGAACACAATCTGGAAAGGCCCATTCGTTTGCAAGTATGGAGGGCAGTGTGGACAAGGGAGCCACCCAAGGGCATCACACCCTCCAGGTCCATGTCTCTCATTCCCAACCCCTTCCTTCACCTCTCAGGCTGTTCTCCAGAACAGGATTCTCACCATACCGAAAACTGAGGACATGGTACTCTGGAGTGGCCTCCATGAAGCCTTGTTCATGTCGGTAAGTGAAGGAGAATATAGGAGAGGGAAGTAGGTGTGAGGGAGCAGGCAGGGTAACTGCTGCGTTGGCCTGGTGCAGCCCTGGCCAGCCCAGCTCCCTTTTCCACAGGGAACTTTTCCACAGGGAGCTGCTCCAGAACACCTGGAAGATGCTGAGCTGTGGCAGGTTGCAGAGAGTCTCGCAGAGACTGACCTGCCCCAGACCACCAAGTTCCTCGAAAGTGTTGATCACAGCCAGGTCTCAGAGGCTGTCCAACTCCCCAAGTTCCTGGAGACGATGTGGCATTACCAGAAGCCAGGGCAACTACAGGAGGAGCCTGCCCAGGCAGTTCCGCTCACAGGGGCCGAGGAGTTGGACCAGCCTCAGGTGCCTGAGCCTGGGCCTGGGCCTGGACCTGGACCTGGGCCCGATTCCGTGCCGAGGCCAGAGCCTGAGTCCTTGCCTGCGACTGGGCCCATACTGGGGCCCAGCCTGACACCTGGGTTCATACTACCACCTTGGCCTCGGCTCAGGCGTAGGACTGCCGCTAAGCCTGAGGCTATGTATGGACCTGGGCCTGTGTATGGACCTACACCTGCCCCCGGGCCTGGGCCTGCCCCCGGACCTGAGCCTACTCCCGGACCTGGGCCTATGTATGGACCTGGGCCTGCCCCTGGACCTGGACCTGCGTTTGGACCGGGACCTGGGCCTGCCTTCGGGCCTGGGCCCGCCCCAGGCTCTCAGCCCATACCACCAGGGCTCTGGCCTATGCTGCCAGGAGGCTGGCCTCCTTCCAGGGGCTCATTCGTACCTAGCGGTTGGCCTTTCTGGGGCCTAGATTACTTCCAGCCTGGCTCAGGCCAGCTGGGCACCCTGTATGCTCAACTTCAGCGTTTCAGGGCCCCACCAGAGTCCACAGAGCCTGCCTCAGTCTGGCCTCAGACAGTGAGGCCACAGTATCGCCAGGCGGAGATGCAGCAGCTCCCCGCTGTCTTGGAAAGTGTGGAAGAAGGTAACTTACACCACACGGCGGACCCTCAGGACGGAGCCCCCAAGGCTGAGGCTGCCAGGGCTGAGGCCCCCAAGCCTGAGGCCTCCAAAGAAGTGCTCCCTAAGGGTTCCCGGTCCGCCGTTCATAGGATAAAAACCACCGCTGCCATCGCAGCCGCTGCGGCCGCCGCCTACGCAGCCGCCGCGACCTCCGCAGCCCGGGCAGCCGAGACCGCGGCCATGGTCGTCAAAGATGCCCCCGCCACGAAACTGGCCACTGTAGCAACGACCACGGCTGCATCCGGGCCCTTAGGGGTCTTTTCAGACATTGTGGGTGCTGGGTCTTCCCGTGGGGCCAAAGAATCCGCATCCTTCAGCGATGACACCGAGATGGAAGACCTGGAGGAAATGAGCTACGAAGACTTCCTCTCCTCTTCTTACGCCGCTGCCCTGATCCCTCCCGAAGCTACCCTGTCCCAGGCCATGCTGGCCGCCAAACAGGCTGTGACCCCTGAAGACAAGAAGAAGGCTGTCAAGTATTCCATGAGCCACATAGCCCTCATGCCCATTAGACATGACTCCCTGAAAGAAGAGTTTGACCAGCTGTCAACCAACCTGCAGCAGCACCTGAATCGTCTAGGTGGGTCCAGACTGGCTCCGGGAAGGGCAGGAAGGGCTCAGGCCCTCCCCGTGGCCTTCAAGAAGCACCTCCTCTCCTTTGTTTAACTGCCCCAACAAAATCTACATTCAACCATCTCCCATTCATTACTTTGGTGGTTAGCATTAGCCTCTTACGAGTCTAGTCGATTATTTCCAATGAATGTACAGTGAGGCCTTATCTTAGGAGAGAGGGGCAGTTAGAGTCTAGAGCTGGTGCCTAAGGAGGAAAATTGCATGTCAAAATCCCTCTTGAAAATCCCCCTTTCATCAGTCCATAAGACACAGTACTACTATACAGTGTTTTGATAAGTCCAGATCCCCCAGAGTGTCCAGCAGCACTGAACAGCCCCCGGATGAAGCAGTCAGTCTGGGATTAGGGACAACTGCCTGGCACACATGGATCCTTAAAGACCACAGTCACATTCTGGGTGTCCGTGGGACCGGTAGATTTATGCTCCCATTTCGTGCCCGTGATTGGCAAATGCTCAGTGAGGGTTATGGAGAAGCGCAGTGGCCCACTCTAGTGGTCCTTAACCTGGAGCTCACCTCAGCGCCCCTGGAGGGCTTGGTGAAGCACAGACTGTGGGGCCCACCCCGAGTTTCTGACTCAGGCGATTGGGGGAGGGGGCACAAGAATGTACTTTTCTAACCCTTCCTGGGGAAATGCTGCTGCTGCTGCTGCTGCCTGGGAACCCACTCTGAGATCCAGTCCCCTGCTGTCTGTAAGTCATTACCTCGCTGCTTTGCTCTCTGCCAAGTACAGTAGTTGAATCAACCTAAGTCCAACCCATGTGCGGCACCACCCCTGACGGGCAGTGCTGTTCCACAAATCTTGAAAATAAAAAGTAGAACATCACATAGTTATAAAAAACCACATTGATATCAGTGAACACTGGGGCATGGCTAAGATTCTAATAGTAATGAATTTAAATTTAAATTGTAAAGCCACAATAGCCCAAATTCTACCTCTGACTAGCTGTTATTTTTGTTAAGAAAACTATGGTTAGGTTGTAAATATAGCTTGGCTGCGACTTTTCATACATTCCTAGTTCTGTCCTCTATATTAGTTTTCAGTCTCTCATCTGGAACTGGATACAGCGGACCTTTTTTTTTTATTACTGCTTTCCTCTTTTGTTAAATCTTCCTTTTAATTTCATGGTGAATAACACACTTCTAAATAAGGTATTTCATAGCTTTGCTCAGGGTCATTTTGGGGAGGGGAGTAGATCCTGGAGAATTTTCCTAGGCCTGCTCTGTCTAATATGATAACCTGGAGAGACTTGTGGCTGTAGAGCACTTGAAAATGGGGCTAGTTCAAGTTCAGATGTGCTCTAAGTGGGAAGCACACAATGGACATTGAAGGCTTAATACAGAAACAAGAATGTAAAATATCTCATTAATCATTTTTTATTACCTATTTAAATGATACTATTTTAGATATATTGGGTTAAATAAAATATTTAATTTAATTTAATGTCACTTGCATCTTTTTAGATTTTTTAAATGTGACTACTAGAAAATTTTAAATGACCTCAAAGGCCCCCAAGCTCACAGCACAGTATCTCTCTATTGGACAGCACTGCCTCAAACATCTCATAACAGAAGCACGTGGGGGTCTAAACAAAGCATCTTCCTCCATCCCAGCCCCCAACAGCCACTCCCACCTTTGCTTGCAGCTCATATGGGAGTCTCTTCCAGGCTTGGGACAACAGTGGACATACTGCAAGAAAAGGTTGGCAACCTCCAGAAATCCAGGATGCAGGTCAGTGTCCCGGGCAGAAAGAGCTTTTATTAGGAAGATGATTGTACGAGACAAGTTGATGGCAGAATCTATGACCCAGAACCAGATGGAGCCTTTGTCCTGTAGCTGAAAGGAGGCCTGGGCCAGCGAGAGGCTGAGAAGGCAGCNCAGTGAGGGTTATGGAGAAGCGCAGTGGCCCACTCTAGTGGTCCTTAACCTGGAGCTCACCTCAGCGCCCCTGGAGGGCTTGGTGAAGCACAGACTGTGGGGCCCACCCCGAGTTTCTGACTCAGGCGATTGGGGGAGGGGGCACAAGAATGTACTTTTCTAACCCTTCCTGGGGAAATGCTGCTGCTGCTGCTGCTGCCTGGGAACCCACTCTGAGATCCAGTCCCCTGCTGTCTGTAAGTCATTACCTCGCTGCTTTGCTCTCTGCCAAGTACAGTAGTTGAATCAACCTAAGTCCAACCCATGTGCGGCACCACCCCTGACGGGCAGTGCTGTTCCACAAATCTTGAAAATAAAAAGTAGAACATCACATAGTTATAAAAAACCACATTGATATCAGTGAACACTGGGGCATGGCTAAGATTCTAATAGTAATGAATTTAAATTTAAATTGTAAAGCCACAATAGCCCAAATTCTACCTCTGACTAGCTGTTATTTTTGTTAAGAAAACTATGGTTAGGTTGTAAATATAGCTTGGCTGCGACTTTTCATACATTCCTAGTTCTGTCCTCTATATTAGTTTTCAGTCTCTCATCTGGAACTGGATACAGCGGACCTTTTTTTTTTATTACTGCTTTCCTCTTTTGTTAAATCTTCCTTTTAATTTCATGGTGAATAACACACTTCTAAATAAGGTATTTCATAGCTTTGCTCAGGGTCATTTTGGGGAGGGGAGTAGATCCTGGAGAATTTTCCTAGGCCTGCTCTGTCTAATATGATAACCTGGAGAGACTTGTGGCTGTAGAGCACTTGAAAATGGGGCTAGTTCAAGTTCAGATGTGCTCTAAGTGGGAAGCACACAATGGACATTGAAGGCTTAATACAGAAACAAGAATGTAAAATATCTCATTAATCATTTTTTATTACCTATTTAAATGATACTATTTTAGATATATTGGGTTAAATAAAATATTTAATTTAATTTAATGTCACTTGCATCTTTTTAGATTTTTTAAATGTGACTACTAGAAAATTTTAAATGACCTCAAAGGCCCCCAAGCTCACAGCACAGTATCTCTCTATTGGACAGCACTGCCTCAAACATCTCATAACAGAAGCACGTGGGGGTCTAAACAAAGCATCTTCCTCCATCCCAGCCCCCAACAGCCACTCCCACCTTTGCTTGCAGCTCATATGGGAGTCTCTTCCAGGCTTGGGACAACAGTGGACATACTGCAAGAAAAGGTTGGCAACCTCCAGAAATCCAGGATGCAGGTCAGTGTCCCGGGCAGAAAGAGCTTTTATTAGGAAGATGATTGTACGAGACAAGTTGATGGCAGAATCTATGACCCAGAACCAGATGGAGCCTTTGTCCTGTAGCTGAAAGGAGGCCTGGGCCAGCGAGAGGCTGAGAAGGCAGCTGCAGCCCCATGAACTGCTCCAGCTGGTGCAGGGGTCCCGGTGTGTGGCCAAGTATCCTAGGTGGTTGTTAAGATGGCAGTTTGGGGGAAAAAGTAAAGATGGCAGGGTGGAGACACACTGGTCTGGTATACTCTTCAAGCCCCATCTCGCCCATGGTGACCTCAGAAGCAGAGGCCTTGGTGTCTGTGTCTCTCCCTTTTAGGAGGAGGAGCTGGAGAGAGTTTGGGGCCACCAAATGGCTGTGATAAAGGATCACTACATCGTGCTGGACAGGGCAGTGGAAAAGATCCATATTCGCCTGGATGAGATAAAGGTTCGGAGGTCTGGGGCGTCCCAGGACGCGCAGCTGAGGGGACGGTTCCTTATCGGGATGTGTAGACTCTCTCCAAGGTTTCACAGGAGAAGCAGTGGAAATTTTACTGGCATTTTCTTGTGTATAAATTACACTTCAATTAGAAACAAACAAATCCCCTCCCCACGTGTGCGCACACATGTAAGCAGAAGGGCCTAGACAGTGGCCGCCTCGTTGACCGCCGCGTCACCCACCCCTAGAAGGGTGCCTGGCGCAGAGTGAAGGCCCAAAATGTGTTGAAAGAATCGAATGAATCAGAGGATTTCTTGCACCAACTGTTACATTCATAACTTTTCCCCTAAACCACCTCGTTTCTGACCAGTCAGTGCCAAGGCCTTTCTGGAACAGCAGAGTTGCTGACATGAGAAGTGTGGCGATGATACAGAACCTTTACCAGGGGCTCACTCCACCAGATTCCTTCTCCGTGAGCCGGACCTCAGGACCAGTCCAGTCTGGGACGTGTCCCAGACATTTGGAGAAGGGATCAAGGTCATTCCCAGAGTAGAAAGAGAAGAAATTCCAGACAGAACCAACTGAACTGGTTTCCTCGGGGGCTCCTGATGACCAGTCAGAGGGCTATGGGTGGGATGCGTTAGGATGCAGGGGGCAAAAGGGGGAGGCCCCACACGGGGCAACTCAGACAGAAAAAAACCTCGTACCCGGGGAGCCATTTCCCAGCCTAAGTGCAGGTGGGAGGGAGAGCTTCTGGACTGCGTGTGGACGGAGAAGTCTAGGGTAATCAGACCTTATGAGTACCAAGAACAGGAATAACGTCATCTCCTGACAACTCTGGGCCTTCTTTTTTTTTCTTTTCCTTTTTTTTTTAAAAAAAACATCAATATGAGAGAGACATATTGGTCAGTTGCCTCCCTCACGTGCCTCGATCTGGGCCAGGGATCAAACCTGTAACCCAGGTATGTACCCTTGACTGGGAATCCAACCCGCGACCCCTTGGTGCGTGGGCACTGCTTCAAGGAGGCTGCACTGCCATGTCCTAGGGATCTGTTAATACATTGGGGCCCTTCCTCAATGGAGATGAGCCAGTTCATTTAACATGTCTGATGTGTACCCAGCACCATGGCCTGCCCTGCTCAGGGGAGGAAGGGTCATGGTATCTGTCTCCAACTAGTCATCACTGGTTGAGAGAAACTGGAGAGGATGAGGCCAGACCAAACAGCGCCAAATGGAGCAAGGCAGCCTCTGTCTTGACTTCCTTCCTGTCCTTTGTGCCAACAAGAAAGAATTAATTGCTTAAAAAGGTTAACCCTAGAATGACCTGTAAGAACAGGGCTTTGTATACAATACATGTTTCATTAAATGTCTTTTTTTTTTTAACCCTCACCTGAGGATATTTTTTCCATTGCTTTTCAGAGAGAGTAGAAGGGAGAGAGAGAAAAAGAAACATGGATGTGAGAGAGACACGCTGATTGGTTGCCTCTTGCACACATGCCCCCACCAGCCTGCAACCGAAGTACGTGCCCTTGGATGGAATCGAACCCAGGACCCTTCAGTCCGCAGGCCAACGCTCTAACCACTGAGCAAAACCGGTCAGGGCTCATTAAATATGTCCTAAGTGAACATGTGCGAGAAATCAGCAGCCCCCATTCAGCCCTTCTGGTAGAGAAATGCGGGCTTGCAGGCACATCTGGAACGGGTGTTACTGCTTTACCTGGATGGGGGTGAGAAAATGTTATGAACATAACAGGTGATGCAAAAAACCCTCTTACTCATTCGTTGAGTCATTCAGCCAATGTTCCTGAGCCTTTGCTCTGCACCAGGTGCCCTTCTAGGGCCTGGTGACACAGCGGTCAATAAGACAGACACCGTCTAGGCTCTTGGGAGTAAGCAGTGGTATTTGTGTTTTTAATCAAAGCATAATTTATGCACAGTAAAATGCCCAGGTTTTAAGTATACAAGGCAGATTAATTTTTGCCTATTTACACACCCATGTCACCACTACCCAATCAAGAGGGAAACGTATCCATTACCTTAAAGTTTGTCTCTTGGAGTGTCTCCCGCTAAGAATGCAGCAGGGTTTCTTTTTGACTCCATGGAAAACATTACTTTCCCTTTGCAAGTGGATGCGATGGAGTTCTGCATTAATTAGAATTAGGTTCAACTTCCAATAACATAAACCCCCAAATAACTGGCTGAAACAAGGTAACTCAGGAAAACAAGAAAGTCAGAAATGATTGGTCTAGAGCTGGTCTAGAATTCCATAGTGACTTCCATTCACAAGGTCACCTCAAGCTCCAAGCTGCCTGCTGGAACTCTAGATATTAACTCTGCATTCAAGCCAGCAGCAAGAAGACACCTGCCCACTTCCATTTTTTACCCCAGTGGTCACACCGAGCTATAAGGGAGGCTGTGAAATGTAGTCATGATTCTGGGAGGTCAGATGCCAGCTAAAAGTTAGAGGTTCTGTTGCTAAGGGTGAGAGGAAGGCCAGATGAAGGGAGACACAGAAGAGTGTTTTCTGATTTGGGGGAAAGGTGACCTCACCCTCTGGGGACATGGCCCAGTGGGTGTGAGGTTCTTCCCAATCAGGTTAGCTGCTGCACCCTTATAGAGAGAGTTCAGTAAGTAGACAGAGGGCAGAACTAATGGAGAGAATTGGTTCTATGTGGAGTCATGGAGAAGGGAAACAAGGATTTTCCTTTGACAATGGGGTACATTGTGTGACATGTAAGTGCTTGGCAGATGAATAGACTGCAGTTCTTACTGGGACCTCATTACAGATCAGAAGAGATGAACTTGCCTTAAACATCTAAGGAGCCAAAGCACTGATTTATGCTTTCCTTCTTCAGGTCTGCCTCCCTGTGCAGCAAAGTTGGCATGTCCACCTCCAAGAGGACAGCTTTTCCCCAGTCCCACGTTTCTTCCCTTCTAATCTGGGCACTAGGAGCCCAGGAGCCCAAGCTTTCCCATGTGCCCCCCCTACCTGCTGTCCACCTGGCCTCATGGTCCCTTCCTAGCACACAGCAAGGGTGGAGGTGAGAGGTGGGTATTATCCTCAGAGCTCCCAAGGATGGCTGACATGCCCTTTGCTTCTGCTCTTAGAATCTCCAGTCTCAAATAAAAAACCTAGAAATGCACAAGGCAGACAAAAATATGATGGAGCAGGAGTTGAAAGAGGTGAGTGAGCAGATTCCTCTCCCCGTCCTGCTCCCCCAACCTGAACCCTGGCTCTCCCACCCGGGGAAATGGAATCATCCCGCCAAGACAAAACCTGGCAGAGACTTCAGAGTCTCCCTCTATCAACTCCTATTTTCAATGCCTTAGGGTTAGTGACAATTTGTTATGTGAACTGAAAAATCATGCACCAACTTCTCTGTCATAGGAAGACCTTGGGTTAGATCTGATGATTGTCTTTGAGCCAGCATAGACCCTAGGGTTGAATTTAAGCCAAGGCTAGATGTCCAGGGTACCAAACTTGAAAAACTTGACCAAAGTGGTCTGATCTCCCGCAGCTTCCCCTTGCTCCCACCCCAGCAGCTCTGCCTCTCTGAGTCCCTTCTCTCTCTAGAAAGCTGACAGGAGCATCCTGGCAGGCAAGGCAAGCCGGATTGACCTGGAGACAGTGGCAGTGGAGCTGAACGAGATGATCCAGAGCATGCTATTAAGGATCGTGGCCCAAGAGGATGACTGGAAGAAGGCTGTGGAGCAGCTCAGCAAGGACCTAGGCACCAAGGTGAGTTTTCCTGTATTAGTTATCACTTGCTGTGGTGTAACAAATTACCCCAGAATTCAACAGCTAAACCAACACACATTTAGTTTTTGAAGGTCAAGAATTTGGGAGCAGCTGCCCAGCTAGTGTTGCTCAGTGGTTGCCCCATGAATCAATAGGTCACTGATTCGATTACTGATCAGGGCACATGCCTGGGTTTCGGGCTCAATACCTAATAGGGGGGTATGCAGGAGGCAGCCGATCGATGTTTCTCTCTCATCAATGTTTCTATCTCTCTATCCCTTTCTCTTCTCCTCTCTTTAAAATCAATAAAAACATATTTTTAAAAATAAAAGAATTTGGGAGTAACTTACCTGGGTGGCTCAGGGTCTCCCATGAGGTTGCCATCATCTGGAGGTTGACTGGGCTGGAGGAGCCACTTGCAAGAAAGAGCCTTCACATGGCTGTGGGCAAGACTCCTCCCTTCCTCACCACACCTACTCCTTCTTAGGGCTGCCCTAGTGGCCTCACAACATTGCAACAGACTTCCCCCGGAACAAGTGACCCAGGAGAGCAAGACAGATGTAGATTCTACATTTATCAGCTAGAAATCTATACAGAGCTTTCTTTCGTCAACTTGAGCTGATTACCCTGAAATATGGTTCTTTCAGGGAAGACAGAAAAAATGATGAATTATTTCCTTTAATGACCAGTTTTCAGGGTAAGATATTGATGGAAATGCCCACATCCAAAACATGGTGGCAAATGAGAGCTTACATTTTTATTTTTTTATTTCTTTTTCATGCCACTATGAATCGTGGATTTTTATATATTCAATTCACTCAGTCAATTAAGTTATTATTTATTTTGTCACTCACATGGTCTCATCTGTGGCCTGTGAGCTGGCTTCTGAGCCCTTTGACTTGATCCTCTGTCATCAGATAACTGTCTTGTTTTCTTAAATGACAAGAAGTTCCAGGCTTTTTGTCAACATTCCCTTCCTCAGACCTAAGTCAGCCATACCTGTATGGAGTCCTGGTTCCTTTTAGTGGGGATCGGTGTTTAGAGACCAAAATCTGGGCACTGGAAGGAACACTTTAAAAATTCAGAAGTCCCACTGTGGAAAACAGTCTGGCAGTTTTTCAAAAAGTTAGACACAGAATTACCATACCACTCACCATGTCCACTCCTAGGTATCTACCCAAGAGAAATGAAAACTTATATCTATGTAAAAACTTGTACAAGAATGTCATAACAGCATTAGTCATAATAGCTAAAAAATAGAAAAACCCAAATGGCCATCAACGAATGAATAGATAAACTAAACGTAGTCTAGCCATAAAATCAAATATTATTCAGCCAACCTGGCCAGTGTTGCTCAGTGGTTGCGCATTGACCTATGCACCAAGAGGGCACTGGTTTGATTCCGGGTCAGGGCACATGCTTGGGTTGTGGGCTGTATCCCTAGTAGAGGACGTGCAGGAAGCAGCCAACGGTGATGTTTCTCTCTCATTGATATTTCTGTCTCTCTCCCTCTCCCTTCCTTTCTCTCTAAAATCAACAAAAACATATTAAAAAAATAACTATTATTCAGCCATAAAAAGGAATGAAGTACTGATACATGCTACAACCTGGATAAACCTTGAAAACATCATGCTCAGTGAAAGAAACCAGACAAAAAAGGCCACAGATTGTGTGGTTCCATTTATGTGAAATGTTCAGATTAAGCAAATCTATAGAGACGGAAAGTAGATTAGTGGTTGCCTACCCCTGGGAGTCTGGGGGGAAGTGAGGGGTGACTGCTAATGAGTATGAGGCCTCTTTTGGGAGTGATGAAAATTTTCTAAAATTGATTGTGATAATGGCTGCACAACTCTGTGAACATATTAAAAGCCATTGAATGTGTACTTTGCACTCAGTAAATACGTGTTGAATATGTGAATGTCGGTTGTCTGGGGGGACCAGTGGGAGAAATGTTTCTCAGGCCTGCAGGCCTATAGTTGAGCATAGGGTTGGTTTTATAATTTGGAGGCAGTAACTGATGGTGTTTCTTTGCCTTGGCTGCTGGGAAGTTCACTTGGCAGCTCCCCTCTAACCCAAGCTTGGTCAAACTTTAAAGGGTTAAAGTTCCCTTCCTTTAACTGCCTCACTTTTTCTGTTGAATCTCCTTGTACTCTATGTCACTTTGCAGGTTACTGCCCATCCTTTTCTGGAGTGAGGCAGGGTGTGAATTAATTGACTAAACACTCTTTTCTTCCCTTCGGTTGTTCCAGCTGATCCACAGGGATTTGGACGTTCTAAAGAAAGACATAAATGAGGTCTGGCAAGTAGTCAGGAAGCTGCTAATTGAAGGCCTCCGGTTTGACCCCGACAGTGCTGCTGGCTTTAGGAGGTGAGCCCCTTCTGGGCAGGGGTGGAGCTTGTGAAGGTTGGGGGACCCTCTCTCCAGGGAGGACACTAGAGGGGGATCCCAGAGGATTGTGTGGACATGGGGAGAGGAGGCGGGGCTCCTGAGCTGGGTGTGGACAGGGGGTGAAATCACCCAGGCCCTCAGAGATGGGCAAAGGGGCTTCAGGACCACATCTGCTCCAAAGCCCTTTTCCACATAGGAGGATGTTCAGAGAGGGAAGGAGACATATAAGTGGAGCCTGGATGGATCTGGGAACAGAGCCAGGTCCCCTACCCCCATCCAGACAGCACTTCCCAGCCAGAGGGATTCAATGTCCTGGGGGGGTTCCTGTCCTCACATCACCCCGTATGCCCCAGATGTCTACTGTGAAGGTTAGCTTTCTAGAAGGTCCCTGGTTTTAAAGACCTCCATTATGTTTAGGGCAGGGAGACACACTACACACAGTTTTATTTCCCCATTTCTGCTCCAGGAGGCCACACACGGGGGTCAGCAGGGGCCTGCAGAGCTGAGCTGAGCTGGGCCAGGCCAGTGGGTGTAGGATGTGGGGAGAAGTCCTGGTCCTGAGGCACAAGCAGACCTGCAGTCTCCCCCAAGCACTGCCTGGGGAAGGGGCAGCCTCTCAGGGCCTGACCGGGGTGTCGAGGGTGATGAACGGATGTCTTCCAGGAAACTGTTTGAGCGGGTGAAATGCATTTCCTGTGACCGGCCTGTGGAGATGATGACTGGCCCGTGAGTACAGCAGCCAGGGGGCGCCCGCGCCCACCCCCTCTCTTCTGGACAGACACACAGAGGCCTGCGGGGTTCTAGAAACATCCTTTATATGCGTATCCACATACATGTTCTGTAGGCGTCATGTCATTTGCTCTCTGTCCCTGGACGGGCCACTGTCGTCCCTTCCTTTCTTCATCAGCCCTGTCCGGTGCCCACTGTCCTGGGAGTGGGTCGGCTCCAAAAGAAAAGTAATGGGAGGAAGCTGTAGGGAAAAGCTGAACTTTGTGGGACTGGCTTGCATGCATTTTTATAATCTAATACTTTATTTATTGAGGTGATGGTCACATAGCGTAAGATGAGCCATTTTAAAATGAATGATTCAGTGGCATTTAGTTCATTTACCATGACGTGCAACCACCGCCTTTAATTCCAAATACTTTCATTGTCCCAAAAGGAAACCCCAGGCCTATTAAGCAATCATTCCTATTGCCCCCTTCCCTCAGCCCCTGACAACCTCGAATCTGTTCTGGACATTTCATGGAAATGGAACTCACAATATGTTGTCTCTTGTGTTTGGCTTCTTCCACTGAGCATCATGTTTTTGAGGTTCATCCATGTTGTAGCTGAATAATATCCTAGTGAGTGGAGAGGCCACATATCGCTGATCCATTTGTACATTGATGGATAATTGGGTTGTTTCCACCTTTAGCCTTTATGAATGAATGGTGCTGTTATGAACATGTGTGTACATATATTTGTTTGAACACCTGTTTCCAATTCTTTTGGATGTAAACCTGGGTACCGGAGGGTCACGGGTTCGATTCCCAGTCAAGGGCATGAACCTGGGTTTCAGATTCAATCCCTGGCCCCAGTTGGGGTGTGTGCGGGAGGCAGCCAATCCATGTGTCTCTCTCATATTGATGTTTCTCTCTCTCTTTCTTTCTCTCCCCCTCTCCCCTTCCCCCCTTCCTTCCACTCTCTCTAAAAATCAATGGAAAAATATCCTTCAGTGAGGATTAACAAAAACCAACCAGACAAAAATATATATAAACATGGAAAAATACTGGAAGGACACATATTAAAATATTTGTCACATGGTTACAGTACTTCTTTGCTTTTGTGTTTTTTTATGCTTTCTACAATGCTGACAATCAGTGTGTATTACTTTAAATTTTTACTGTGGCTTAAATACATGCAGTAGAGCATGTAAATGCTGACTGTACAGCTTGCTGAGTTTTACACGTGTGTATACACTTTTTTAACCACGGCTCAGATCAAGATGTAGAACAGTTCCAGCTCCTCAGAAGGCTGCTGTTTTACTTTACTTTTATTTTTATTGAGGTAGAATACACATAAAATAAATTAACCATTTTAGAGTGAACAGTTCAGTGGCATTTTGAACACTGACAATGTTGTGTGGCCTCCACCTCTAGTTCTGGAACGTTTCCATCACCCCAAAAGGAAGCCCCTTACCCACTAACTGTCACTCCCATTTTCCTTCCCCCCAGGCTCTGGTCATCTCAGTCTGTGTCTGGTTTTTATTTTTATAATTGGAACGATTTTTTTTTTTATGACTTAGAAATATTATTGGGTTCTGCAGAGGACAGCTTCCTTTCAGGCCAAGTTTGAGGGTGGCTTCCTGGAGGAGGTGGGAGCCCAGTGCCCTCTGCTGGCCACGTACGCCTTCCACTGAGCTCTTGTTCTCCAACAGGCACCTCATCACCATCCGCAAAGCCCACCTGCTGTCGCGGCTTCGGCCAACTAGTGCCAACAGCTACGAGTACCTGCAGCGGCAACAGATGAGGTGAGCAGACTGAGGGTCTGCCCCACGGAGGTCACTCAGGACCCAGGAGCCCTGCAGAGATCTAAATGCAGTCCCAGGAGCCAAAGACTATCCTAGGGCATTGCCAGCCATCTGCAAAGGAAATGTTCAGGAAGGTGGATAGGGCAGCAGACAGACCGGTGCCTGTGATGATCACAGAGGAAAGGAATGGAAATATTTATTGGGCATCTGTTATGAGCCAAGAATCGTTAGGGAGGGGTTTCTCATTTAAATCTCACAATCCCCTATGAGCTAGGATTAATGTGCCCCGTTCCCGCTGGAGTATGTAAATGACAGCGAGGCTTGCTGTGGCCAGGCCAACACTGCGCTAAGCGCTCGGACATACCCGGCCTCATTGAATCCAAACCCCTGCCCTTTGAGGTATATTCTGTTATCATCCTACTTTACAGCTGAAGAAATTGAAGCTCAGAGAATGTAAGCAACCTGCCCAAGGTCACAGGTAGCGAGTGGCAGAGCTGGCACCTAAACCTGAAGATTTCCACCAGACCCAGGTGGCTCCCTGGGTCCCAGCTCCATCCCTCAGCCTCTGGACATCCCAGGGCTTCATGGTGCTTCCCCTCCCCCCTCCCAGGTGGAGAATAGCAGCTAAGCAGTAACCACAGCCACACAAAGGGGAGGTACATGGGGGCCTGTGCCCCTTGCCCACATGTCCCTCGCCTGATTCCTTCTGGAGAGCAAGAGGCTAAGAGCATGCACTTGGCAGGCCAGATCAGGCCTCCAGGGGTGGCTGGGGTCTGGGGGAGCATAGGCATCAATTTTTTTCTCTGTCCCCACTGTGTCTATCTGTATCCACCTACCAGACCCCAGGCCTGCCTGGCTGTACCACCCACAATCAGCTGGAAGAAATTCCAGTGTTCCCTCACTACTGGCCAGGCCCTCAGGGCCTAGCCTTAGGCTAACTCAGGGACAGAGGGGTCTCCAGGTGGCTGCTGACCCCCCTGCCCTGCCCCAGGGAACAGCAGCAGCTGCAGCAGCTCCAGAACCTTGGAGACCAGGAGGACTGGAGCAACAGCCCTGGGAATGATGCCAACTTCAAGCCATATAACTTGTCGACACTCTACCCCTATGGGGACCCCGAGGTGTTGGACTATGATACCGTGAGTCAGGCTGCAGCCTGGGTGGTGGGTGACCCTGGGGGAAGCCGTGCTCTATCTGCTGGGCCTGTGTGTATACTAGAGGCTCAAGGACACACTCTTACCTGGGGCCTGGGTCCTCCAACAGGCCGAGGTGGACATCCTGGGAGTGGACGGGATCCTATACAAAGGCCGAATGGACAGCCAGGAAGGAGCACGGCCACTGACCAGCGTGGAGAAGGAGCTGACTGGTGAGGGGCATCAGGCCTTCCTGGGCACCCCTGCCTAGTGTCCTGGCTTTGCTGGCCAGCACGAGCGGATGCAGGCAGGGCCTAGAGCCAGCAGCAACCCTGACTGGGGGGCCCTCACACAGCCAGTTGCAAAAATGGGGCCCTACCATATGCTAGGCACTGCACCAGGTGCCAGGAGACTCAGGGGAGCAAAAAAGATGGTTGTGCCCTGGAGTCTCCATATGAGTAGGAGAAGCAGGCCAAAAGCAGATAACTGAAGGTGAGGATGAACAGCTGACCTGAAGGGAGCGCCCTGGTGCTAGGATAGTTGTGACAAAGTATGCAGGCCTGGGGAGGGGTGCTGGTGGCCCACCCAAAGATGGGATGCTGGCTGGTGATGGGAGAGTTGTGACAAGGGACACTGGTCCAAGGAGAGGGACTGGATGCTGCCCTGAGGCCTCTGAAGAGGGACTAGGGTTTTACTGGATGAAGTGGTCAGGTGGGAGGAGAGCTGTCCAGGTGGAAGGAAGAGCAGGTGCAAAGGCCCTGGGAAGTCAGGCACTCAGAAAGGTGAGCCCACCTGAGGTGCAGAGATTGGGGTGTGGGTGGGTGTGATGAAGAGGACATGTGGACAGACCCTGGAGGCCTGTGTCCTAATGTCAAGGACAGACTAGGATTGGGCTAGGGGAGAGTCTGTCACACGTGTGGAATCAGTTCTCTAGTTTCTGCAGTGTTGAGGCCCTGGCTCCATCTGGCTTCTACTGGGGACCCTACCTCTCAGCTCTAGCACTGGGCCAGCAAGACCAAAAGGGTGCCTTCTCTTACTGGGCTTGTCACTGCATCTCTCCAGTCTCTGCCTCCGTCTTTGCATGGCCTTCTCCCTGTGTATTCTCTTCTGTTTCTTTTAAGGACACCCGTCATTGGATTTAAAGCCCAACTTAACCCAGGATGCTCTCATCTCAAGATCCTTCACTTAATTACATCCACAAAGACCTTTTCTCCAATTAAGGTTACATTCACAGGTTCCAGGGGACATGTCTTTTGAGGGCCACCATTCAACCCACTACAGGCCCTCCCCCTGGTCCAGGATGACAGGACACTATCTTAAACCCTACATCCCCCCTAGAGTAAGGATGTGGCCTGCAGCGTTCATGGCTCCTTTCCAGGCACCTGGCAGTGGATGCTGTTGGGAGGGGACTCAGGCTGGGCTTCAGGGATCAACAGGCAGGATAATAACAACAGTGGCTAATATTTAATGAGTCTGTCTTCTTGCCAGGCCATGCAACAACCCAGGGAGACATTGCATAAATGAGCAGGTGAGGGCAGCCTTGGCAGAGAGGCCCTGCTAATCTTATATACCTGGCCCTTCTCCGCATTCATTTACCAGCTAGTGCCCCTCTCCCTCCAGAGGAAAGGGCATTTCTCCCCATGGCTCATTCATCCTCAAGACCCTTAAGCAGCAAAGCAGGACTGAATCATGACACCTCAACTGCTTTATCCTGCTTGGGGGCAAAAAAGTCTAACTAGCGTTAAAAATCAATTAGAAGTCTACCTGTGGCCAGATGTTTTGACCAGTATGCTCTTAGTGCTCACTTATTTACTCAAAAGAATAATCTAATCCAAACTAAACCTAAACTAGTTGGTGTGAGCCTGGTCCCAGATGCATTCATCTGTTCGTTCCACTGTTTCTACCTTATCCTGCTGGGCATTCAGCCCTTTGACAGCCCCACAGGGGTGACCGAGGGGTGCCCAGCCAGCCTGTGGTCTCCAGATGCCTGCACTGTGGTCAGGATCTCAGGGCAGAGAAACACCTGATCCCCAGTGAGTGATACCCCCAGCAGGAGAGCGGGTGGGCATGCCGAGGCTGCTAGTCAGCAGGCTAGACTTTCAGAGACTCTCCATGGAAGGCTAAGTACGGGCAGGTAGGAGGCAGTGGCAGGGGCACAGAGGTAGAAGGCAGAACTGAGGGAATAGGAGACTTGTCTCCAGCCCCCACCTTCCCCACCAGCTCTGGGTGAACTGCCTAAAACACACCCCTAGCCAGGCCCCTCCCAGTTCAGAGGGGATACTGTAACAAATTACCATAAATTGAGTGGCTTTAAACAATCCAAACTTATTTTGTCTCAGTTCTTGAGGTCAGAAATCTGAAACCAGTCTTCTGGGCTAAAATCAAGCTTTCAGCAGGACGGGTTCCTTCTGAGGCTCTGGGGGAGAATCTGTTCTCCTGCCAGTGCTACCATCCAGAGGCCTCCTGCATTCCTGGTCTTGTGACCCCTTCTTCCATATTCAAAGGGAATCACTCTGACTTCAGCTTCCATTCTCATATCTCCTTCTTTGACTCTAACCATCCCGACTCCCTCATAAAGACCCTGTGATTATGTTGGGCCCACCTGGATAATCTAGAACCATCTCCCTGTCTCAAAAGTCCTCAATTGAATCACATCTGTAAAGTCCCCTTTGCCATGGAAGGCGATATATTCACAGATTCTGGGGATTAGGACATGGACATCTAGGATGGCATTGCCCTTAGAGTCCAGACTCCTTGGCTGATCTGCAGGGCCCCTTGGCCCCTGGCCTTATCGGTCCCCTCCAACCAACCTCATGGAACTATTCACTTGCTCTCTCTCAACAAGCCAAGCTATTGCTTGCCTTTGGGCCTCTGCCCACACTGTGCGCTCAGCCTGGAACCCCTGGAGAACCTTTCCTATTTGCCAGGGTTCAGGTGTTTCCTCCTGTTGGGAGTCTCCTAGATTATGAAGAGCTGGGAAAGCTCAGAGGAGAGCCTAGCGGGAGCAGATGTTGGAGTCAAGTGGGGAGTTTGGGTCTGGACATGAAGAGTCCAAGGTTGTGGATGTCAAGGCCAGTACTGGGCTCCCAGGCCTCACTGTGTATCCATTTGGATTCTGTACCCTGGGCCCACATCCCTTACCTTGAAAGGAAGCAATTCAACACTCTTACTGGTCGGTTGGTTGGCAGGTCCTGCCTCTGACTCACGGAAGGATACAGGTGCCAACTGGGGATCAGAGTGGGGGCCAGGACCACCCCTCAGCCAGGCATTTGCTCTTGTGCAGAACCCATAAAGCACACAGGTGGTGGTTCTTAACTCTGATTCCAGGGACATGGCCCAAGCTATGGATCCCAGAAGCTCATGGGGAATCAAGGTGGTGCCAGTTGGGTCCCCAAGGCTGTAGACCCCGTGACAGGCATACAAGAGGTTTGGAAGGAAAGGGCATTAACAAAGAGGAGGATGGCAAGGAAGGGAGCAGGAAGAGACCCTCAGACAGTCACAGACCTGGCCAGCCCAACGGGGGAGCTTCTGAGCAAACAGCCCAGCTGGTGGCCAGGCCCTGTGCTCCCATCATTGGTTGGAAGTGCTAACAGGCCCTGAAGGGATAACAGACCTGAGGTGCTAGTAGAACCCCAAAGTACTAGCAGACCCTGAGCTGCTAACAGACCCCAAGGTGCTAACAGATGGCAGCTGTTTGCTCTCTGCACTTCCTGCAGCTGAACACCAAGTTCTTTATCTCTTTATTTATTTATAATTCTCACCCGAGGATGCCCTTTCCATTGATTTTCAGAGAGGGTGGGAGGGAGAGAGAGAGAGAGAGAAACATTGATGTGAGAGAGGCACATTGACTGGTTGCCTCCTGCACTCGTCCTCCAGGGATCAAGACTACAACCGAGGTACGTGCCCTTAGTCGGAATCGAACCCGGGACCGTTCAGTCCACGGGCTGCCACTCCAACCACTGAGCTAAACCGGCTAGGGCAACACCAAGCTCTTTCTTAAAGGGAGATGCTGGTGGCACCTCCTGCTGCCACATGGCCCAGCTCATTCCTAAGCCCTTGTTGGTTTTCAGAAATCCAGTGTAATCAATATAGTTACTGCTCCCTTAGAGTTTTTACTCCATGAGGAATGGTGACATGTCAATGAGTCAGTCAGCGAGAAAATAAGATGAAACATGGAAATGGGGGAAAGAATGACCAGGGGGAGGTCCTGTGGAGTGGGTGTCTAAAGGATTCTCTGAGAAGGGACATCTGAGGCAGGAACTGTCAGGACATAGCTGTTCAGGCAGAAGGAACAACTGGTGGCCTACACAGGAGCTTGGTGCCCTGGCGACTCTTGCCTGGTGCGAGGCTTGGCTCCTGCGGGTACCTCCCCCCTCCTCTTCCTCCCTCCACCTTTGCTCCCGTGGCTTCCTACACGGTCCCACCTCTCCCACAGCGGCCTTCGGTCTGGGTGCTGGATGGCCAGTCATGGTGGTTCTTGGCTGGACAGGCAGAAAGGGACCCCTTGGGCTCAAAAGTGGAGGGTGGAGCCAAATCCAAAAGACTTCATATTGTGTGATCCCCCTTCCTGTGAAAAGCCCAGCACAGGTAGATCACAGCGACAGAAGCAGATTAGCGGTTGCTAGGAGCT